GTACAGAGGAGCATAACAGCATATTTAGAGCTATGTATGATCATGAGAAATAGCTTATTTAGAAAAAATGCATGGGTAGTTCGCAAAAATAATCATCTTTCCTAGCCTCCAATTTGATCCTATATAATGATGTCACTCAATTTGTGAAAAACAGTCACGTGAACAGCAACTTTTAGGGCGGTATTGTGACTGATTTAACGGCGATTTTATCACAGGTAAGTGCATCTAACTTTGTTGAATTTGGTACAAAATTTGCATAAATTAAATTGCTATTTTGACCTAGCTTTTTCAATTTGGTCCAAGTTTCAAGGCGATACCCACTACTGCGTCTTCTGACCATCTATTCCGGCTTAGGAACGTTGACTAGGTAGGTTCGCAGACATCTATCTGGTAGCGTCAGTGCGAAGACTCAGCCTTGACAAGCTATGAAACCAATTCCCGTTAAAAGAAGTTGTAGCATTTACAAACACCTTCTGGCCCTCCGCATGGCTTATTAGCTATCTCCCATTCCTTAATCCCGAAAGATGAAATATTTATTTACATGAAATGGTAGTCTTGAAACACTACTTATGAACGAAAAATAAGTATTTATCGTCTTTCAATTTTTACCCTAGTTTGATCCTATAAGATCCAGAAGGACACTCCTCCAATTATGTCTATTGCAGCTTCGTTCTCTCAATTTTGTTATCCCTTCTGCTGGGCCTCTTTACACTGATTGTTACCTATTTCGACACCTTTCATCCAAATTCGATTAGCCTATTTTACTGTGAGTATGTTTTGAAACAAATTGTAATCCTTGACTTCTTCGCCTTCGGTCGCTAAAGGTAATGTAAGGAATGCCAGTGGAGTCTTGTTTGGCAAAAGGTCCACTCACCCAACTTACCTAAATCTCTTCAGGGCCCCAATCGTAGTCTAAAACCTGGTCGTGTGCATCGTGGTGACAGGTTGCCACTCCACTAAATGGCCAAATATGCCAATGTGTCACAGGGTAGATGGGATTTTCAAGGCAACTCAGGAATTCTCCACGCAACATCCATAGTGGGAATTTCGATGACGCAAACGAGTATTTGTCATTACCATTGACGGAATAAATAATATTAGGTATGTGTATGCTTCAAAACAATCAGTACTAAATATCTTAGGATGATTTAGTTATTATATAATCAAAGTGTTTCTCAGAGTACACATTGCAGATTTGTGTAAGGAGGAGAAATTAATCGAAAATGGAAATGTGAGCCGAGGATATGGAATTGAGCGATATGATACATACCAGTCCATAAGGAAGCAACGAGATATAGCGACTCTATACAGTGAAAGAAGATTGTATATAAGGTGTCTTAGCCTTCATACGTACTAGAATTTTGCCTCATCTTTCTACTCACATGGTTGCTAATGGAGCAAAATTTGCTAGTCTGACTATGTTGTAGCTATGAGATGTATTTACCCAATATCGTTTGAGGTGATGAAGGACTGGTAGAAGAAGAATTTTCCCACAAGCATATGAGTTGAGCTGACATTTCCCTTGAATTTCCCATAGCCTTGCTTTTCCAAAAGTTGTTCTCATCCAGGGTGGACTGCAGTTTCGACCTCACATCGGTCTTATCAACACCCTCAGCAGGAGTCGAACCGCGACAGGGCAGGATGGGCGCTTGACACGCCACATCCATAGTAGGAGTTACGATGACGCAAACGAGTATATTTAATTACCATTGACGAAATAAATAATATTAGGCATGTGTATGTTTCAAAACAATCAGTACTAAATATCTAAGGATGATTTAGTTATTATATAATCAAAGTGTTGCTCCAAGTACACATTGCAGATTTGTGTAAAGGGGAGAAATTAATCGAAAATGGAAACGAAAGCCAAGGATATGGAATTGGAGATATAGCGACTCTATACAGTGAAAGAAGATAGTATATAAGCTGTCTTAACCTTCATACGTTCTAGAATTTGGCCTCATCTTTCCACTCACATGGTTGCTAATGGAGCAAAGTTTGCTAGCCTGACTATTCTGTAGCTGTAAAGTTAATTTTTTTTTCAGTATGAGCATATAAAGTTTTGTCAATTTTCCTGGAAAGTTTTTTTTACAGAATGATATATTCAAGCACATTCTTACTAACGCCTAAGACGGTTTGGTGTATAGGGAGCAACTCGATTAGTCACTTGGCCACGGTTATTGTTACAAGCATATGCAAAATCACAAATACTATTGAGCAGTGCGATCGGCTCTCTGGACACTTCTTAACCCACCAAGCACGTCCAGATTGATCCGAGCTGTGGCGACTCCCAGATGGTTCTGTGACTGGCACTCGTAGACACCGGAGTCTTCTGGCTGAGCTCCATGAAGCAGTAGTCCGCCAGCATAACTTGATCTGAACAACCGGACGCCTTCTTCACCAGAGTCATGGTTCCCCTTGACTCCACTTTCGTGGATGACCCGAACCTCGTTTGCATCCTCTTCATTGCCAACTGACAGGGCAGCCAGTCGAGACTCAGCAACAGCCATTTGGCTGGTTTTGGATGCACTCAAAAGGGTCAGTGACAACCTGTGGTTGAAATGAAGCCCATTTATGGGCCAACCAAAAGTGGGTTGAAGCCGTTGTGGCTGATCGGTACCAGAAGACCGTCTTTCCACCGGCATTCGTCTTTCGTCGTCCCCAAGTACTGTAAAATTAAAGTGCAAGTTACATGTATAGTTTTTAACTTAAAAAGCACTTTCAATGGTTTTGTAAACAAATTTAAGCTATTAGCTTTGCTCTTATTCACTTGGACAATCAAGCAACTTCGCAAGTATTCATCCCTGAGGTATAAAAAAAGATAAAGATTTAAAAAAACATTTGACATTATGATTAACAAAGTTTAGCTGTCCAGGCAAATTACACTTACGCTTTATCCAAAAGACATGGACTCCTAAAAGAGAGTCGTTGGTAAATGGAAATGCATACCAGTTAGAGTACACTTTGAGCACAGAGCTCGACAATTACGTGAGAGATGAACATAAATCTCAATTATTAGATAAATTGCTTCGATTTGTGCCTTAAAGGTTTTTCTGGTTTTTCGAATAAAAGTATCTGAAGAAGGGATTCGTGGATCGATCACACCATGAAGAGACGATAGATTCCTGCTGCTCTATCATCGCTTGATATCAATATGAAGCCCAAATCCACGCACTCCATGAGACATTACCATTCTGATCAGGTGAATATGAGGTTAGTTTTCATCTATTATGCGAAATGACATTCATTTTCAGAGTCATAGATCATTCGTAGTAAAATTTAAAGATATTAATAAATTAAGAAGAAGCATGCTCACGATGATAGCTCTGTTAAGCTCATCAACTCAGAAGGGCGTGCATCCAAGATTGCGCGACGGAATCCATGCATTTTCACAGTTCATTATGATGACTCTGCATTGATAGTTTCACACATATATTTAGATACTTAAACGCGCATACAGACACACACACAACGAGTGCATACATTTACGTGAAAAGCAATTAACCATATCATTTCAAGTGAGGATGACCTTGGTAGTATCCTTGACTTGGCGTTAGTTTGATATTTTGGTACGAATGAGATTCCGTTCTGAAAAATTCTGCCAAGCTGCATGATAGGAAAAAATTCACTCTAGACTGCATAAAGTTTAACATTGAAGTAAGATAAAACGATTTCTAAGCAAGAGAAACCAACCATGATCTTATGGTATGAAATGCCTGTGAATTTCTTAACCTGGCGCTAGCTTAAGAAAGGAAAGCCAACTCAGCAATGTTACCTCAGAGGACTCATATAATGCTGATTCACATGTTAATTAGCTCTAAGCTCCCTAGGTCGTGTAAAGTCATAAAGAATTGATACTTAAATTTCCCCACATGAGATGAGTAGGCCTCGCCATTACAGCAGATTTTTCTGGACTTGGTTCCTAAAAGGTTTCAAATCCGCTTTGGTGTCTTTAGTGACCCCAGCGAAAATCAAAACCGGATAGCGTTTAGTTTCGACATGTTATCACTATGATACATTGTCACTGTTGCTAATAGGTTGTAGGGCAGATGTGAATCACTAGGTCTATTTTTATTCCCGTTAGTGGTTGAAATTACAGTCCACTCCGGACGAGAATATCTTTTAGATAACGAGGGTAAGTGAGCCTCAATGGAATCATGAAGCCTAATCATATTCTTGTAGGAAAGTACAAGTATTAGTCCTTCATCACTTTATGTGAATAAAAGTGATTAAGACTCTCATTCACGGTTTACGGGTAGCATCAGAGCCTACTTCTATACGTACCAGTTACACTTAGTTTATACAAGGGATGGTTACAATAAAGTTGCAGATTGTACTTTCACATACTGGGATTCGAAACTATGTGTTATTTTGACACAGGGACCTAATTCGATTAGGGTGATGAGCGGCTACCATCTGCACTATGAGCAGGAAGACTTAGGCTATCAATTCATTTGTTTAAGTTGGCAAAGTATGAATTTCCACGAGGTCAGTTAACTGTCAGTGTCATAATTACTAAAATGGCCAGTCTATAACTTTAATAATCCAGTCTGTACTAATATATGTTGAATTCCCCTAAGGGCCAATGGGAATTTTATCAATATGTCATCACTACAAATGTGGAACTGGGAAGTTTTGTCATCTTAGAAAACCGGAAGTGGAGTTGACAGGATCTGAGTTTAGAGCCGACCCGAAGTAATGGCGAGGCTTAAGCGAGATCAGGGCCACAGTTTAGCCCAAGTGAGCCAGAAATTCAGGTTGTTCATTTATATTTATCTCTACATGACTTGAGCACAAGGCTACATGAAAGGGTAAGTTTTACTTTTCAAGAAGTCCTGTTGATGCCGCAGCAAACGTCACAAAGGAAAGTGCCGTCATTGTTTAACATTGAGCATACACCAACCCATCAAGCTTCCATCTCAAATAGACCCATCCAAACCAGCATTAAGATGATTTGCTAACCTCCTTATCAAGTCTGATTACTTCAAGCACAGTTACTACAGCAGAGAAACAGTCTAGCGTAGTGAAATGTAGCGGCACCGAAGCACAAAAATCTGTCCAGAAAACCAATTAAAAATGCAAGACAAACTCTAACAGTGCATAGAGTTTTTGTTGAGGGTGACTGATAGAGACTATTCACCATCACCTACCATCAGCCTAGGAATGTTCACTCATTCGGAAGTGAATGATATTGAAATCGCAGAATGAACGAGTAAGTTCTAATATAAACCTTTGAGGACACATTCGGAAGATTATTTTGCGCATAATTCGAATATCTCTAACTTAAGATAGACAGATAAACTCCTCACATGATAGGTACCATTCCGTTATTTTAACACAAGGATTCACCTAAAACTCATTCCAAGAGCAAGTATGGGTGTAGCCAGAGCAACAAAGGTCTGTTTATGATCAAGCGGAAGCAGAAGTGATATGGTCGCTTACTTTTAACCCAATGCGTCTTAGGCCTTGGAGCAGCAAACAGGTCACAGGGCAAGAGCACTTCTTCTCCTTGACGAGCCTGCAGAAACACAGGCCTTTGGCTTGGCTTCTCGGTTGCTGCTTCATGCTCCACCTTGTTTTTTGATTCAGCATCCTTTTCTTTCGCTTGTCCCTCAGGCTTGCCTTCTTGAACATCTGTCTTCTTCGGCTCATCCAAATGCTTAGATATGTTGCTGAACTTGCCAGCCAACATGGCCACCGGCAACCGT